CTTACCATCACGAAAAAATGCAAAAAATCAAAAGTTCCAGAAATGCCTCTAAATGCATGTCCATAGCCCATAACATGCTGCCAAGTGAATAATTTGTGCTAAAAACTGCAAAAATATTTTATCTGAATATTTGAAAATATCACCAAAATCATGCCTTACTATCAAGAAAAAATATATATATATACATATATATAAATAAAATACCAACACAACTGGTTCAAAAAACATTTCTGTAGTTTTAAAAATCTGTGAATAATAAAGCGTGTGTTGTGACTGACCAGGTCTGATGGCTGACACTGGGAGGATGCGGTGGCCAATAAACTTGCCATTTTCTTCAAACACTGCTATCCTCAGAGAGGCCAGTGTTGGGAGAACCACCTAGACACAGAGACACTGGAGTGAGTATAAATAAAGGACACAGTTTAGGATTAGAAAGACTGTGGGGGGAAAAAAAGGTGACCTTATTAAAAACAAATGTCTCATCATCCCACAATGGGTCCAGTGAGTTTCCATTGGAGGTTTTGGTTCTGTACTTCCTCTTTGTGTCCGCAGGCAGTCCAAATGTGTCCACTTCCACGTACACACCCACTTTTTTGTCTGTCAGGAACTGACCTGAAATGATCTGATGGACAAAAAAGAGTGAAAACAAGTTAAACCTGGTCAACACGTCGTCAACTCCTACCATCGTATGACTCTCACTCTACATGTACTGACCTTTATTTTGACCGTGTTGGCCACAATCCCGTCCACTATGTTCTCAGTAAAAGGGTCAAACTGTTTGTCCGTCCTTCTCATGAACTCTGGTTTCAGGAGGTAGCCACTGTGACCGTTGTACTCAAACACACCCATGTTTAGCTGCATCGGAAGGTCTGCCACAGACAAAGTGGAGTTCAAATAAAAGGGAAGCAAAAAAGCAAAAGAGAATTGAGAAACAGATGTTTTAAAAAAGGGAGTGAGGAGTAAGAGTGAGTACTTAAAGCCGACCTATTAGAAGGTTCAGTTATTTAGGAGACGGAGGATTCACATTAGCATCTGCCACCTTTTAGAAGGCCAGACTTGGTGTTTTAAAGATCTCACTTATGGTTCCTGGAAGTAAGTCCACAGCTTTATTTAAACTTATTAAATATTGATGTGGCAAATGGAGCCCTGCTGAAACAGATCTATTTATCAGCTGATAGTTGTAAAATCCTGGAGGAAACAGCATTGGGTTCAACTACCCTTTTCACCTCTTGTGTGACAATTATTTACCCAGTGAGCTCAGTAAATAAATGAACCTGTGTGTTTATGATACTTTAATATTCACACTCCTTCACAATATTGCAACTTTAAATAATGGTGTGGTTTGTACAGATAAAAACATGTTGATAACAACAACATGTAATCAGGTTCTCAATAGTATTTCTATTCGCGGGGGTGTGGGTCAAAAACATTTCTGTCCCCAAGGGGGAGCGTGACTGCAAATACTTAAGAACCACTGATCTATATATACATATATACTTATTAATACTCAATATATTAAAATTAAGCTGTGGATTTACACATGAATAGTGCCATAATATAGATTATAAAAATAGACAAATAGATAAAACAAACTTGAATCACACATCAACCTGCTGTCCTTTGTCTTTCTGTTCCAGCAATATTAAAAAAAAATATATTTTTTTCAATTCTTAGGCTGTTTTGTCTGACAAAAAATGTTGCGGACCAACCGAGGGTCTGGAAGTTTAGTGCGACCATTTGGCATCCGACGTTCCAGAAGAGTTGGGGCATGTAGTTGGAGCTGTCCACCCTCGTGCCTTTGGGATAAATTCTGCTGAGTTGGTTCTTGTTGTACCTGGACAAGTACTATCAAGGAATGTGTTATGACGCACAGTATAGAGTGGGTGGCCACACTTTCTGAAGCCTGTTTTTTTGGGGTTTTTTTTTAGTCAGAGATCAGACAAGAACAGATCCACATATGTATTTGATAGATTTAATAGATAACAGAGAAATAAAATTGTTGGCACTGGTTCGTTCTCCAAGGATACTCAACAAACGCTGTTGGCGAGCTCTTCAGAATGTCCATGCCTTTGGTTTCTACAAACGACGACATTTCAAAGTACTTCTTCCTCTCTGGTGGACGGGGAAAAAGTAAATAAAAACAATAAATTAAATCCCCTGATTTGTGTACTTTATCTATTTTGACACCACTAATTATAACAATTACTAAGTTTACACAGGCAAAGAACAGCACAGAAAACTTATAACAATTACTAAGTTTACACAGGCATAGAACAGCACAGAAAACTTAAACGTGTATAATTTCTTTTAATCACTTACTGCTTGCAACTTCAAAACTCTTGAATTTGACAGGCTCGATGTAGTTGACCAGGGTTGACATCTCCTCCGTGGCATTTACCTCACTGCTGGCTGTGCCCTGTAGGAGTGCAGCACACACCACACATCTGTCAACCAGCTCACTCAGTCAGTCATGCCATACCATTAGCAGTGTCAGCTGTTCCCGACAGCCGTTACCTCATCAGTGTTTGGCTTTTTGAGCTCCGTCACCGCTTCGTCCTCCTCGTCCTCCTCACTTTCTCCCTCACCTCCTGGATACAGAGTTCCACAAACAAGTTAAAACTTAACCATCGACATGTGTTCAACTATTTTCACAGTGACCCACCAATGGACTTGCGTGGCTCCAAGTCTTTGACCATCCTCTCTGCCAGCTTCTCCTCCCCGTTGGACATGACATGTCCTCCTTCGCCCTCCGTCAAAGGACACTCTACAACAAATACATCATAATGTTTCCTTTAATCTGCAGTCAGTACAAAAACAGGCAGGTTTATATATATGTATATATATGTATATACTGTATATATATGTATATACTGTATATATATATATATAAATAAACAGACATTCTTGCACTGCTAGTATGACTGCTTACCATTGTTAGGAGACGACTGCTCCTCCAGCTCTCTGCGCCGTATGCTGCCGCTGCTGCACGGTCGGTGGTGGTGGTGCTTTTTCTTGTTTTTTATGAGAATCTTCCCAAGCATCTCTTGTGGTGTGGGCAGGGGCTGGCCTGGGACCAGCTACAGCCATGTAGAAGAAAAAAAACAAAACATCTTTGACAGAAGCATACCTGATGTGGGCCATGAACAGAAAAAGATGAAAACATTCTCATCTTCATTTTTTTCCCCTTTATATTAAGATATCAGATTAGATGTTTAAAAAAAAAATCTTTAAAATGAAAGAAAATATATACATGTCTGAACTAAGAATATCATGAGACCCTGAGAACAAGGTCACAGTAGAGGAGCAGAAACCACATATTATCGAAACTTAATGCACTGGAGTCACAGGAGTCAAGGGGCCAGAAAATGTTCTACATAAATCTAGCTGAGTCTGACAGATTTTAAAGTGAAATGTTTTCACCTTTCACCTTACAGAACATGACTCATGAAAAGGACAGAGTGAGCACAGATTCATAGATTCTCACGGGGATCTGGTTTTAATGGTTGTCATTCTTTTCAGTAATCTGTGCTGTTGAAAGTATTACAGTTGTGTGCTCCTATGTTTCCACTACTGTAGTCTTTATATAGTTACATGTATTTTTTTTTGTCTTCTTTTGGAGTAGCAGCTCCAGTTAGATCATCAAACATGGGACAATCAATGCTGGAGTAAAAGAATAAACAATTGTCACCAAGTACATGTGTAGTAACCTACACATCAAAGCTTCCTGAAAAAACCATCGTACCGAAGATTGTTCCAGTGGATCAAGGAGAAGTATAGTCCTGCAGTACTCCGCCATCTTGGCCTGCTGCTTGGCTCTGACAAGATGAGATACATTTGATTTACAGTGAAAAAGAGTAACAAAAAGTTGTACCTGATCTGACAATGAAATCAAAGTCTGAAGAACACATTCTAAGGTGACTTACGAATCAACGTGGTTTTCAAAGGAAAGGATGACGGGGTATGGCGAGGTCTTGAAGGCACTCTCTGCAATGGCCTCAATCACCTCCTGCAATAAGAGAGAGGGGCTTTTAATATTTGAAACAAACAACAAAGAAGTCTAAGGCAGTGTTTTGGAATGTTCAAAGCACCAACCTTGAAGGGGATCTCAGTGGTCATGGTGAAGCCGTGGGTAATGTAGGGCTCCTCATCTTGCGGCCGGCCCTTCCAGCAGTCCAGCTCCACACAGCGGCAGCCAGTCAGAAGAACCTGTCTGTACATCTCTACTGAAGACAGACCAGTCAGCTGGCCCACTGCAAAACACAGAAGAGGGCATTCATTTATAATGAATTAGGTACGATCAAGAATACTAGAAAAACAAGGAACAGAGCTGGAGGTTTTGGAGTCAGGGAACTCCTGTAAGGGTCCTGGTCCAAAAATGTTCAGCTTCGTTTATCCATAAATTATTTGGAAAAGTAGCACTTCACCAAACATCAAGAAGCAGAAATAATAAGAGACACTAAGATAAAGGGTTACTGTGGTTTCTGTGATTTTATCTAAATGCTGAACAGCTTATAGCATTTTTCTGATCAGTTTTTGAAGCATAAAAACTAAATGTCTAAAAAAGGTCTTTAAGTGGAAAAAAAATAATAATAATAAAAATTTGTAATATAATCATTTGTCAGTGTAGACAAGGCTTTTTCCCCTCTTTGGCTCTGGGGAAACTTTAAAAGATGACGGTGAACCAAAGAGAATTAATACAATTTTTTTCTTATTTAGCTGTAAGCTTCATTATTATTCCAATTTAAGTTAGATGTAGCATGTAAATAGAAAGCAGGAGCAGGCCAAGGGTGGAGCCGTTGGAAACTCCTTGATTATTCTATCGAGTCATTAAAATGACCAGACCAGTGTTATCAGATTTGAAAACTCTTACTGTACATTTGTATCAACCGTCACATGTGCTGCTCTGTTACCTGTGAGGTATGTGTTGTGTGAGGAGTTGATGAAGTAGTGAGACAGCGGTTGGTTCATATCGTCGATGATGTCCAGCCTCTCTGGAGGCACGATACTGTTTTCCTCTCCTCCCATGTACCGACTGAATGCCTGTAAACTGATCTGGTCTGTAGGACACACAGAGAGAGAAAACAGAGTCCTGATATTTTAATTTTCAAAGCCCAGATTGCTTTTGACAGTTGGTTTAACTGCACTGACCAGTGTACATCTGCTCATGCTACGCTGAGCGACTGATTTGATTTGAAGGGCAAGAACTGGAAAACAGAAGAACAAATTGACGTCATCTGTTCTAGGGGAACACCGGCCTTTACGGAAAATGGATTTTGTGTTCTGGACAAACAAAAAACAGATTCCGAGGACAGCTCCAGGTTACATCTGGATGCTGTGGATCGTCTTTCACGCTTGGGTTTAACAGAGAGAGAGCTGCCTTCGGTAGCAATGGCTCCATTTGTTCCTGAATTTCCCCCACACATCCACAGAGGACACATGTGGATGATTTCCCCAGCGTGCATCCATAACATCAGATGTAAAGTGGAAACAGTCTTTGTTGGCCCAGTGTTCAGGGTTTTCAATGATGAGCAGCCTGGCCTCCATTTTACTGTGGTGAAACTGTAAAACTGGGAGTATTAAAAAAAAACAAAACACTGCTGCTGCAGACAAACCTCACTTGAAGACAAACAGACACAACCTACAAGCGAGTACAACAACACAATGTCACAATAAAAAGGAGGGAAGCCAGAAACCTTTCCATGCCGACTCTAATTGAACCCAAATGTTCTGAAGCGCTCTGGTTTTCAGCTCAGAAATGAATAAAAATGTGAAGAGAACGATAAAAATACCGTGAAAATGACATAAACACACAGACAGTTACCAACCTCGCTCCAGCTGACTGGTGTTGGTCTCATATTTCTCCATGATCTGTCGGACCTGCTCTCTTTTCAGCGGGGGGTACAGCACCTCGTTCAGCCTGGAGTCTCGCTGCCTGCGGTTGATGAAGTCCATCAGCTGGTCCAGAGAGATGAACGGTTTCCTCTTGGAGCCACTGGAGCGGAAATAATAAATGAAGAAACATCGAAGGCAACCAATAAACAAACTAAATCACTCATCACAGTCGTCAGGAAAAGACTCAGAACAAAGGGAGTTCACAGAAATAGAAAATGGCAGTGAATCTATTTGTGTGTGTCACTTACATTTCTTCTAAGATGCTTTGTATCTCAGGCCGCAGGCACAAGCTGTCTAGAAACTTCTGGAAGGCCTCCCACGTGAAATCGTCTGGCTTAATTCCCTCTGTCTGCAGAGAAAGAGGGAACACAGAAGAATGTGTAAAAAAATACAGAGGAAAAAAACTTTAGAAAAGTAGAAGACAATGAAAACTTTATTATAAAAAAATCTAAGGTATGCTGGGACCACAGCTGAAATCAAAGACATCTTCTTTTTTTTTAAACTGCATTCTTTTCCTTCATCAGAACAGAAATGTTGCTTTTGAGGTTTTGCCATATTACGTTTTTTATTATTTCAGTTCTTGAATTAAACCGCTACATGATTTTTGTCTTTATATGTCTACATTTTTGGTTTATATTGTTTTGTTGCATTATAGGTATTTACAGTATAACCTCTGTATTTCTGTATGTCTAATTTAAGTTTATTCATTTTAGAATGAATTTTTATTTAAACTGGATTTTGTGGTTCCACTGTTGTGTTGCCAACCTGCAGAGGTTTATCTCGAAAAAGTGATTCCAACGTAGTTTCACCTGTTTTATTACAATATATTATAAAAGAGTTTAGTTCTTGATTTTTTTTAGATATCGATATTTATTATTTACAATTTGTCAAACTTGTGTTAACTAAGAACAACTTTCTTTGTTTGTACCAAGTGTTAGAGCGTCATTCAACCAAATCTTTAAAAAATTAAAATAAAAAAAAAAAACTGAAACCCTTGGTGTTCCTTTGTACCTATTTTTGGATGCCCAGGAAAGTTCCTAGTTAATATACTTTATCTAAGTCATAGTCAAAAACTATAACAAAGTATATAAAAACACAAACAAAACTATAACTATGCTGCACAAACAGCAGGTGGCAGTAGATTCAAACTACTTCCAACACTACATAGAAAGAGCGGGAGAGAGCGAGAGAGAGACAGAGAGAGAGAGACAGAGAGAGCGACAGAGAGAGAGAGACAGAGAGAGCTGAGTTTGCACAATCGGATCTCTTTATTCAAAAGGAAATGTCTTGTGACTCCAGACTGATTTTGTACAAGATTGCAGTGAGTGATAGAGACACAGGAAACCTTGTTTCACCTCATCCGACCCACAACCTACGAACACAGTCCCGCAGGTGTAAATATTTCCCCTGCAGACTGTAAAATGTATGTTTTTTTCCCTATCACACCTCAAAATAGAAACATTTTCAAATACATGCTGTGTAAAATAAAAACATCGTTACCATTGAATTTAAATCAAATTATTTCAAATCTCTAATATCTTGATGCAGATTTACACCAGTTAATTGTGCAAACAGGATTCTGAATTTTTTTTTAAAGTTTGCTGGGTGTCACTTTTGATGAAACCACTGGTATTAAACAGATCAGATAAATGTGATAATCACATTTCAGTGCAACCACGTAAATATTACTAAGAAGGCCAAAGGGTTAATACAATGTCCAGTAAAAAAAAATGCAGATGCAAATCCAAGAGCAATGTTTTGCAAAATTAGTGGACATGGATTTTACAACATATATTTCACTAAAAGAATTCACAGTGGTGTGACAAGATCTGTGCAGGTCAGACTTTGGAGCAGATAGTGAGATGCAGCAAGTACTCAGAAGTCTATTCACTAGGGATGGACATCTGAGCAATTCTGTGCTGCAGGTTTTCTGCCAAAAATAGATATTGAGAGATATTCAGCCTTCGGGTTCAATATGAGGGGTTCAAAACTGCCAGTTTCTTGCAGTGTTATGACAATCTCTGGGGTAAAAACCAATGTAGTCCAATAAAATGCAGCACTTCCTGCTTCACAATAAAAGACTCAAATGCTCTGGGCAAAAGGAGAGAGGGACAAATAATGGTGTCGGAACAATCACACCTGAGATGAACCCTACTTAGACTGTGTGGAGCATCAATGGGTGGCAGTATAACTAATCTCATCCATCCATCCATCCATTTTCATCCGCTTATCCGTTACCGGGTCGCGGGGGCAGCAGTCGCCACCCAAATCACATTGCACCGTACCAAACCTTCCTGCGGGTGGTGAGTCCACTGGAAGGTACTAATCTCATTGCATTACATAAATTAGTATATAGTGATTCCAGACTGTGTTGTTTAAAATATTTTGCACTATATTTTCACATATTATAGTCACTGATCCTTTTCTTTAAAAATTAGGAATAGTTGGTATAATTTTAAGGAATAAATAAAAACCTCAAACCACCAACCATTAAAATAACCAGGAAGATTTACCTAGATTACAAATGTCAAATATATAATTAATTATATAAACTGAATATACGTAAATGTACAATATATGTTGGATAACGGTAAATGTTCTTTCATTCTTTCACCAGTCGATCAGAATGGACTCAGAGGTCACCACTGCTAAACTGTATTGACCATAGAGAAAAGCAATGGTGTATGTGTCATTTTTATCATTTAAGGACATCAGTTTTCATACTTGGACATCAGTTTCGCATACATGCTGCGGGCTCATCAGAGCCCAAGCTTTTTAACTCTTTTTAGATGCATGAATCAGCACACACACACATACACACACACACTTGTTAAGTGACTTGCGGTCAGTAATTGTCTCTGATTCTCACCCTGTTGTTGACCAGGCCACACTGCTCCAGTGCCGTCTCCACTCTCTTTTTATCTGAGAACATCTTGAGAATGCTGCAAGACAATCAGAGAGAGGGGGAGTTTTAAAGAGATGACACTTTCTACAATTGTCCAGCTACTTTCAATCAGGACTCAAGAAAAAAAAAACCTTCATGAGGTTGAAAAAGATAAAGTCAGGAGTAAGTGAAAGGATCTGAAAAAAGTGAGAAAAAAAATGTATCATGATTCAGTGGGTTTTCTCACTTCTTGACAGGAATCTTTCCATCCTGATTCACCTGCAGCTTTAACTTGGTGTACCTGTAGCAGCAATGACAACACAGAGAAGGCATTTAAAAATGGATCCAAAATCAGCAGCTGCCTCGTGTCAGGAGAGGACACACAAACATCTTACGCTTTGAGGAGGAAGGTGTTGCGCGATGCATTCTGGGAAAGTATGTTTGTGGCCAAGGTGAAGAGTTCATCCGTCCAAATCTGGGAAAACACATGTGCATACATGGACGGGGTTAAAACAGAGTGGTCCGACTGTGCAGCTGGTGTCAGACAGCTTCTATATACAATATACCACACACACACATACACACACATGAAAATATTCCTTTACACACACACCTAAACATCCTTGCCTCAAGCTCAACATAGTGATGTTGTAGTAAGACTCATGAGCCTGAGAAAAACAAAGTCAACTGTGAAGGAGAGGAAGCAGGAAGAGTGGGTATACAGTATATGGAAACACTGTGGACTGTGTAGAAGAAGTGGACATAACCAACAGGGTGCAGACGAACGCTGCACAGAACAGCGGCAGAGTCTGACTGACAGCTGAGACGTCTAAATACAGCCACATGTGGGGCTCACATATGCACAACGGTCCATGCAATGTTTTATCAACTTTATAAACTTCTTCCAAATGATGTCGTAATGTTCCATAGTGACGTTAATGAGACCAAAATACTTTTAACTAAAGATTTTTAAAGACTATTTTTTCTATAACCAAAAGCTACAGCTTACATTATTTACAGTTTATACAAAAAGTATTATTTAAGTGGATTAGATGTTGGCGGTTTCCATGGTTACCTTGGCCGTATCTTCCTGCATGGCCTGGAAGTTGAGGAAGGAGATGTTGACCAGGTCACTGCCATGGACGACAGTAACCAGCTTCCCTTCTCCATTGTCACCTTTACCAAATCCCAGCACCTCTCGCAGCTTTGAGTCCTGACACAAACAATGAGACACAGAGCAGACACCAAGACTGTAGTCAATATACAGACTGTAGTAATACACAGTATACAGTATACAAACACTGTTGATTTATTAATCATTGAATCCTTGTTAATCGTAGGACAGAGCAGGTGTTGCATTGCATGCTGGAAAATAAATGTTTTTTCTGTATTTGACTTTTTTTTTAATCAAATACTTAACCAAATATAGATAAATATAGAATTTATTTCAGTGATATGTCAAGTTTATAAGGGTTCTAGTGTAATTTCTATTTGAATATTTTTTCATGTAGAAAATGATTTTTTTGTGTGTGAGAGTACAGCCCTAAACCAAACCAATACAACAGCCTCGGCTGTTGTCGTGTGTATGCAAACACGAAAACACACTTGTTAGATTTGTGTACACGATCGCCCACTTCCGATGTCCTCTCCGTCTCCTGAGGACAGTAAATCTGATGCATGTACTGAGCGCTGATCTAATTAACCAAACGACTCTCTCTTCCTTTTTTTAGTCCATGTTTCTGCCACAGACTTGAACAAACACGCTCTGTCTCAATTAGACAAATGAACATGGATGACCGCCAGAACAGTGTACGCCATGGAACCACCAATTTACTCTAATGACTGACAAAATAAGTCTGGTTCAAAATAAGAGCAGGATTCTTATGTTTGCCACTATTTCAGCAGAACTCATGTAGATCCAAGGGATTTTTTTTATTTTGTTGAAATAACATCTGTCAAGTAAGATGAGATTGACATCAGAGATTTTCATCTGGGACGTTTTGATTTTGTAGGGCAGTTGACAAAGACCATCACCTGCATTTAATGAAAGAACAATATTATTTAATTCAGGGGTCCCAAAGCTGTGGCCCGTGGGTCACTTGATATCAAGGTTTAATGTTAGTGTTGCCCGCACGTTTTTCCTCACAGGAACCCTTTTTTTTTGTCTTGGGAAAATTAAGTTATCATTTACATCTACTTGTTACTTTCCTAAGATCCTACGTCTGTTCAGGAATCTGGTGTGACCCAGGGGTTGACTGTGGCTCCTGGTTTAAATATATACAAGTGATGATTTGCTGAAATGTAATAATAATAATAATAATGGGGACATTACTGTAACATATTTGTCAGTAACTGTGATGGAAATTGATTCATATGAAGTTCATATTTATTTATTTTAAGTAATATGAACTTTTTTTATGGTCACTCTGGTTGTAAAGGTGTTGATTTAAAATGAAAATAAATGAACAAAAAAAAATATTTTGGTTACCATACTGAACATCTTATATTTAGTACATTTTTGAAGAAAACACTGCAGTAATAATAACAAAACATTAAAAAAAAATCAACAATATAGTTCTCAGCCTGACCAGCCAACCTTAAGTGAACTGCAGATCTTCATATCCAAATATTCACATCAGCTGATATTCAACACTAAAGGTCTTGGATCAGGACCAGAAACAAAAACCCTGTTCAGGAAACTCCTCATCTGCAGTGTTCACCAGCAATCGCAGCCACATTAGAGTCTGTTCAGACCGTTTCATTCTTACACAATGACTTCCTTGCCAACAGTTGCCTGTTATATCACTTCCTGTCTGACAGTCCATCTGTCAGCAGGCTCATAAGAGCGCTGTCATCTCAGTACCATCAGCTGAAAAGCGGGGGAAAGCACAAAAACACACACGTACACCTCCAGGCACACAGGTTGTTTTGACAGTTACACTTGAACGTTACATCGGCACGGCTCTGGAGACATCAACAGCAGCAGGCCGCAGCATTTATTGCTCATGTACACCAATGAACTGCAAACACAGTACAAACCTTTGGTTGCTTGGCGTACTTCCCAGTCCTGGTATCCCTGATGGTGCTGATGTCCAAAGTCTCCACCTCCTAAAAAACAGAAAACAGAAAATATAATAGATATCATCAGCCAACAGAATTTCAGACCTTTTTTGTTTTATTTATGTTTTTTTATGTGGTGACACTGTAAACCACGGGGTCAAAATCAGCAGAGGGTGAAATTACATTATACTGACATCTAGTTGCGGGCCACACATGGGCAGTTTGTGGACCAAAGGTGGCTGCAGGTCAGTTTGAGTCCCCTGCTGTAAACGATTTTAGCTAATGAACATAGATGCAATACCTTTGCTGCAGCTATCGGGTCTTCATCATGCAGATGCAAATATTCAAGACAATAAGGGAACAGAATTCACTCATCAATTAAATATGAAATTATTTAGACAGCCTTTGGCAGTCACAACAACAAAATTTGACAATTCCGCAAATCATTGTGTTGGACCTGTATATTGTTGCTCTTAATAACCGTATTATATTAATGTGGGATCCTGTCATGCAGATGACTGGAAGTTTTCCATCCCATTAATCCTAATCTCAGAATCCTCACTATTATTATAACTTATCAGGACATATTTAGAAGACAGGTTGCTGGAACAGTAAACTTTGTCGTGACTATAAAATTACACTGTGCCAACAATCAGCCTCACAACATATGATCAATTCATTCCTTTATAGCGTTTGGTGGCCTACATCTGATATCAAGTGGCCTAAACCTAGCTTTCACACTCGGGAATGCCAATGTGGGTCAGTTGTTACGATACTGGAAGTGTCATAAAAAATTATTTGCAAAAACAAAATTGCAACAACTACGTATATTTATGTGTATTATATCTAATTATGTTACTGTAGCAAACATTTGTAAAGATTGTATCTTTATAATGTTTTTATTAATTAACTCTCACAGTTTGTATTTTTTCATGTATGCATCTTATGAACCGCACACTTTTTCATTAGTTTAAAAAAAAAACAAACACATAATACAGAAACACTGAAGGAAACCTTTTTTCTGTCTCTTTGTCAAACCCATGAACTATAGACCTTTTGTAGACAGAGAACATGGGTAGTATACTTTGATAATGCAGCAGAAAGATATGTATCAACATGTCGCAATCATGCAAATAAGCCGATGCCACAAACAAATCCTGGAGAATAAAAGTGGTATTGGTGGAGACAGAGATGGTTTAGAAAATGGCAGGAGTGGACAGGAGGTGGAGAGTGTGTGGTCATAAATAAAGTCATAAACACAGAGGATGATGCCCTGTAAATATTTGTTTACCTCCTCATTTGCACTCCGAGCCGCCTAACACTGTCCCTGTCTCTGTGCGTCTTACCTCTGGAATTCATTACAATTTCACCTCCGTTCCAATTTGCCGTCAGACAGTGGTTCATTTTCACATCTTTTTTTCTTCGACCGTATCAGTCAGTTCGACTGTGGCATAGTCTCACTTTCAAAAAAGAAGTACAATGCTGCTTACTTCAACTTAACTGGGAATGACTGTATTCCTTTCTTTTAATTGTAATTTCACACAGACTGTGATGTCATCACTGTGCCCGCCGTCTCCTCTCCTGGGATTAGCTGTGTGTAATAAAGGTCAAAAATGTTGGACCAACTGGATCAAAGTCTGTCTCAAATGCCGTCCCCTGGTTGGCCTTTGGAGAGTTACTTATTTCATCAGGGGACAAAGTGCTATTGGGTCTGTGGGACACATATTCACAAGCGCACACCCGCACACACACAAAAACACACACACTTCACTCCCACAGGCCATGGTTTCATTCTACTATCGCCATGGAGACTCCTTGGAGACCACCTGAAAGAGACTATGTACAACTGTGACAACTGTGTGTGTCTTCGTATGTGTGTGGTGAAGGGGTCGCAGGGGGCTAACAGTTATGTTTTTCACTAATTTGCCATTTAAAACAGACACACACATACAGTATAAACACACACAAACAAACTTGAAGTTATGAGCACAGAGGCAAATCCTCAACATGCAGGCCCTAACTTGTGAAACATCCTAGCCTGTTGAGCAACACAGGGTGTGTGTGTGTGTGAGTGTAGCTGTGTGTGTGCGTGTACAAGAGTACATGTATTTCAGGGGCGTGTCAAAGCTTTTTTTCTAGACTTAGTTTAGACCTTAAAGTTAGAAATTGGGTGGGGTTAGGCTAAGGTACAAGGTTCACATGGTTAAAGAAAATATCTCCATGAAAAGGCAATGTTATTCATCATCAGTATTCAAATATTTGGTGCAACATGTTGCTGTTTGATTATGGCAACTGATAATTATGATGATTTGATTCATATTAAAATCATGATTAATCAAAACGATTATTCACTGAGTTAGGAATTTGCTTTTATTGAACCTTTATACTTTATGGAATGATAAATTGAGAAAAAATAAACAAAAACAAAGTGAAAAAATAAATCTATATATATTAAAATATTAAATCAAATTAAATCAAAAGCTATTTGGTAGTATACCCGGGACAACAACTGTAGTATGATTAGTCCAAAATAAATTTGTTTAAAACTGTTTAAGGGTAGTGGCCTTCAGGAGAAAAGGAGTAACAACAAAAACACCTTGAAACATGAGCTAGTTCAATGAAATAATATGCCTGAATATTAAAAAAAATAAACTAAACTGCATATACATATATTCAGTGTTTCCCACAGTATTTTAAGAGTCTAAAGCTGGGGTTTGGAAGGGAAGAAAACAATGACAAAGTCATTCACTCCCCCCTCTCCAATGACTGGGGAGAACACACACTTCCCTTTCTTTTCAACCAGGTTCCCAGGTTAATTAGCTGCTCCCTCCTCCACTCCTAAAAAAAAGTGCTGAAAGTGAAAGTACTGTTTGTGTTCGGGGGGCGGGGTGCAGGTCACTGCTGTAGTGTGTGCTGCTGCATTTACATCACAGGATAGGCGAATGGCCCAATAACTGTTTCATGTAGATTAACATGTTTTCTTAATTGCTGGTTGTGAAAATCAAAATTGAAAACTGTCTTACCTAACAGGGGGCAGCATCTTATCAGTAATTTAAAGGCACGAATGGGCAGCTGTGTTTGAAATCCTTCTTCACCCGAGAACATCAGATGTATTAGCAATTATTCATTATCAAACCAAATGTGTGTTTGCCATGTGACTAGAGAGAAAAAGTGTCAGCATGAATTGAAATGTGTGTGTTTTTGCACATTACAAAGCGTGGTAAATGTGTCTGCGTGAAGGACAGTCATCTCCTAGAGCACATTCCTCACATATTCAGGCCTTCTGCTCAGTTAGCGCCTGTGTATCTGTGTGTAATATTTAGCCAGTCATGGCAGCTGTGGCCACCATTCATCTCTGGGTTCAAAGCTCACGTCATTTATCACTACAGACTCCGCTGCTGCAGTCTCATTATTGCTCTAAATGAGTCACCGTGCCGTAATTCACCTCAACTCAAGGCTTTTCAGTGGCCACATAAACCTCCCCCTAACTTCATGTACTTTGATGGTTTCGTACATTTCACAGCACGCAGACTCATGTGCCTTCTGTTGTGTGAACCTGTGGCATGTTAGCTGCAGACATGAAGCAGTGAGGCTGTTATTTTAGCTGAGAATAGCAGGGTTACAGTACATGCTTTGCTGGATTCCAACTCTTGAACGCTTTGAAAAATACGCTGCTCCCAATTCAAACCCTGGTCATAACACTGTACTTTATCTGCTTATTTTCACCGTAGACTATTGGATATCAGTGAAGCTATAGATATCACTCTGCTTTTACATAACATTTACTTTTATATTCATATACTATGTTGGCACAAACACCACAGGTTATCTGTCTCAGAGTGTAGTTTTTTTTTTCAAATATATATGCTATATTATATTTATATGATCATAAAAAAAAATAGCATCATAAAGTGACCATCCACCTAGAAAAAGGAATCAAGAGTGTACGTGAGGAGGCATTAAGGAGTCTAAAATCCTACTTCTTCAATACTTCTTGTTCTCCAGATAACAAAAGTTATCAGTTACAGTTCTGGTCCCAGAAGAACAATCATTCTAATATTTATTCAAGCAGTGAACAACACTCTAGTAATTGTTAATTTGATTAGGTACCATTCTGTCCCCACACACTGCTCCCAGGGCACTCAAAAAGCTGCCCACTGTTACTTTGGTGATATGTTATAAAACAAAGGTCACATTTCGTTGTGCAATGATGTGTGTCACAACAAGGAGTTCACTTTCCTTTCCTTCCGTCATTTAATGGAGTGACTTTTCAACTCACCTTTTCCTCCCTCTTCCACTACAACTCCACACTCCATTCATTTTCTTAAGATTATAGAAAAATGAAAGGGCAACTGAACAATCAAGTGAGCACCGCTCCTTTTCCTGTGACGTGCCTATTGGTGTGTTTGAACGATGACCGTGGCTAAATATGTCTCAAATGGCCAATCACGGCTCCAATCAAATGGCACATGATGACGGCATTTAGAAAACTGATCCTGGGGATCACGGATGAAAACAATGTTCCAGGGCAGCCTACAAGACCACCCTGAACATGGCCGCAACCCAAACTGTTAGAGGAGAGGGGGTCACGACAACGCTTAGCCTTGTACATAACAGGCTTAGACATGACTAGAAAAATGTATGATGGAGCAGCAGATAATAAGTATAGACATAACTACAAACGAAAGAGTATGACACATTGAAGCAGTAACGGAGTTAAAACAGGGCAAGGCTGGTCTAGACATGGTAGCATAGACTTATAGAAGCAATAATATAGATTTGAACCCAGATATCAGAATGGATGTGGTCCAGATGTGGCCCATATCAGCACATTGGAACTGAAATGTGGCCGATAAATAACTAATAGTAGTTGGGCTGTTCATTCAGTTTGCCAACGATGGAACCAACCTGTGGTTTACCTCTGTCAAACACCAGCCAAATATTAGTCTTAAAATCAGAAGTGGGCCAAATATGGTACATCTGAGGTGACATTCAGATTACACAATAACAAGATCTCTTAAAATTTACCAGAAATGGCCTACAGATGT